CCCAGCCTCCATGTGTCTCTGGGTAGCATCCACACCCACTATAAGTCATTAACTCGCGGGACAGTTTGTTTCTAAAGGAAAAATACCCTGACTTATTAAGAAACTCTCGTAAAGCCTGTACGACAGTAATTAGAATAGTAGGCGCAGAGGAAGCAGAATGGAACCCATTACTATGAAAGTCGTAAATCCCGGAGTAAAAAGAAGCCGTAAACAAGATACTCAGCTGGGAACGGGAGCTGGGAAGGCAGCCTGTCTCGAGGACGTTCTGGAAGCGAGGAGAGGCACGGCCTCCGTCCTGCTGAGTGGGGCCCCCGCCCCCTCCTGCCAGGTCTGCAGCGCGGACCCTGCTTGCTGCCTGTTCACTAGTTCAGAGCCCCGCAGGCCTGAGATGACCGGCGACCCTGTGAGACACGGAGTCCTAGGGACGCCCTGAGAGGGTCAGAGGCTGCTCCTGGCCTTCCCCTCCGGTCCTCCAGCATCCGTAGGGGAGGAGCTGCAAGGTGAGATGCGGAGGTGCAAGGGGCCGCCTCACCCCGCCCTGGTGGCAGGAAGCTGTGGAGCTGGACCAGAGACCCCAGAAGTGTCACTCTTACGTGTTTCCTATTTTGAGGAGTGACAAAGGAGGGATCTTGGCAGGGCGTTACTAGGTGCCTCCCATTCAGGCAGTGGAAGGAGGACACTGGCATGTCACTGAGAAGAGCCTGGGTGCAGCAGCTGTCTCCTCGGGGCCTCACCTCCCCGCCCCCACCCACCACAGCGCACTAACTTGCTCAGTCCTGAGCCTGCTGTTTGGGTCTCAGCTGTTCATCCTTTCAGGTGGGTAAGTGGGACAGTGGGGGCGGGAGGCTCTGTGTATCCCCACACTGGGTCCGGCCCCATCGGCTCTAGAAAACAGCAGAGTACAGGCCATTGCCTTTGTAGGGTAGGACAGACCATGACAGGGAGGCTGGTGGAATGAGAGGCTTTGATTTCTTAACCTTGATGGAAAGTGGGGAAAGCCACATCTTACCAAACTCTTCCGCTGCGTCGTAGAGAATTTAATTACATTTGGACATTTGAATGAGAACCAGATGTGGCTCTGGCCCGTCGGGCCAGCAGCGTCTCTCCTGTGGTCTGCAGGCCCCTGTGCCGTCTCGCAGCCCCGGAGGGCAGCTCAGGAAGACCCACCTGGGAGCCGGGTGGGGTCGCCCAAGCTTCGAGGCTGGACTTTAGGAAATGGGCAGGTCAAGGCAGGCTGCCAGACAGCTAGTTCCACAGGAGAGTTTCCCAGCCCTGTCTCTTCATAGCCATGCTGAGTGGGCATGTTTGTGGTGCCCTCCCTTGGTGGGTGCACCCACCCCCGCCCCACAGGCAGACGTGCACTCAAAGAAGTCATGTCACAGCACCAAGCTGGGCGTTTTCTATCACCAAAGACAGTGCCAGGCTGCCCAGCCCTGAGTCTACCTTGGATGGCATCTGCTGCGGCTTTGCCCCCTGCGTGGTGCCAAGGACCTGGAGCTAGGAAGGGCTTTCAGGCCTCCCCGGTGAGGAGCACTGCTCCAGGGGCCTCGGCCTGCCTGGCACAGCTGGCCTTCTAACCAGGGCACACTGCAACCAGAGTGGTCTTTATGCGTGTTTCCTGTGTGTTCTGCTTCTTAAAGCCCCTTGGCATCTTCTTCCCCCGAGATCCCCACACGCCCGGTGAGGCTGCCAGACCGGCCCCTCCCTTCCCGCCTGACAGATGATGAAGCAGATGAGAAGCGAAGTGACCCGCCCGGGTCATTCAGCACGTCTGCGGCAGGACTGGGGCTCCAGCGAATCCTCTGCCTCCTGCACAGTCCTCCCCCTTCGCGCCGTCCACCGGGAGCTTCAGCTCAGGCCTGCGCCTACATCTGGCTGATCTTAAGCATGGCCTCAGCCAGACTTATCGAATACCTCGGAACCAGGGAAACGCGAGCCGGGCCTGCTCAGCCTCTGCTGTCCCCGTGTGTAATGTGTTGTGACAGGATGTGCTCCGTCTTGGTCAGGACTTTGAGTCATACTGATAAAGTGGCACTGAGAGGGTCCCTGCACGGGGCTGCTGGTCCAGGTTGTCTGAGTGGCTGATCTTGTCCCTCCTCCTTTCAGGCCAAGACTCGGGAGAACCTGGGTAGTGTGGGTTTCCCGGGAGCGGGAGCGGCAGCGTTTCTGGTTTGAGTCTCCCCCTGTCTGGGACGGCTGTCACGTCACAGCTGTTGTAGGAGGGACCTGAGAAATGGCTCCAGCCGCAACCAGGCCAGCGTCCTCTCCCACGGATACCCTACCTGTGGCCATTGCTTATCAGGTGTTCAAAAGCTGTGAAGGAATTGAGCTGGGCTGTGAACTCAAATGCTCCGTTCCTGCCCCCAACACACACACACACACACACACACACACACACACACACACACACACA